TGGAGAAATTTCTGAGTCTTTGCCCTTTCCTAAAATAAATTTTTATTTATTTTTTGTTTTTTGAGACAGTCTTGCTCTGTCACCCAGGCTGGAGCGCAGTGGTATGATCTCGGCTCACTGCAATCTCCGACTCCCGGGTTCAAGCAATTCTCCTGCCTCAGCCTGCTGAGTAGCTAGGATTACAAACATACGCCACCAGACCTGGCTTCTTTTTGCATTTTTAGTAGAGACAGGGTCTCGCCATGTTGGCCAGGCTGGTCTTGATCACCTGGCCTCAAATGATCTGCTTGCCTCGGCCTCCCGAAGTGCTGGGATTACAGGCGTGAGCCACCACACCAAATTTTTAATCTTTAATAGAGTCAGAGTCTTGCTATGTTGCTCAGGCTAGTCTTGAACTCTTGGCCTCAAGTGATCCTCTTGCCTCAGCTTCCCAAAGTGCTAGGATCACAGGCATGAGCCACCATGCCTGGCCAGGTCTTTACCCATTTTGAATCGGTGAAAAGACAACTGTACAATTGTGTGTGTGTGTGTGTATGTGTGAGACATCGTTTTTTGTTTTTAGGTATTCTCTGCATATTCTGGATAATCCATTGTCAGATATATGATTTGCAAATATTTTCTCTCATTCTGTGAGGTGCCTTTTTACTCTTTTGTTAGTATCTTTCAATGCACAACATTTTACAATTTTCTTGAAGTCCAATTTGCCTACCTTTCCTTTTGCTGCGTGTATCATATCCAAGAAATCACTGTCAAATCCAATGCTGTGAAGATATTCCTTGTTTTCATCTATGAATTTGATAGTATTTGTCTTACATTTGAGTCATGAATCCATTTTGAGTTAATTTTTGTTATGTATACTGATTTTTTTTTTTTTAAGAGATGGGGTCTCACTATGTTTCCCAGGTTGGAGTGCAGTGGCTATTCACAGGTGCGATCCCACTACTGATCAGCACAGGAGTTTTGACCTGCTCCATTTCCGACCTGGGCCGGTTCACCCCTCCTTAGGCAACCTGGTGGTCCCCTGCTCCCAGGAGGTCACCACATTGATGCTGAACTTAGGGCAGACACCTGATCGGCATAGCACCCTACAGCCCAGAACTCCTGGGCTCAAGCAATAATCCCATCTTAGCCTCCCAAGTAGCTGGGACTACAGGTACACGGCACTGTGCCCAGCATACTGATTGTTGTTTTTCATACTGTTAAACCAATACTGTATTCTGGGGATAAACCTAACTTGGTTATATGGTATTTTACTTTTTTTTTCTTTTTTTTTTTGAGATGGAGTTTCTATCTTGTTGACTAGGCTGGAGTGCAATGGTGCAATCTTGGCTCAACACAACCTCCACCTTCTGGGTTCAAGTGATTCTCTTGCCTTAGCTGCCCGAGTAGCTCGAATTAGGCATGCACCACCACACCAGCTAATTTTCTATTTTTAGTAGAGACGGGGTTTCTCCATGTTGGTCAGGCTGGTCTCCAACTCCTGACCTCAGGTGACTCGCCCGCTGCAGCCTCCCAAAATGCTGGGATTATACAGGCATGAGCCACCACGCCTGGCCTGGTATTTCACTTTTAATGTATTGTTAGATTTATCAGGCATGGTGGCTGACACCTACAGGTATGATTACAATCCTAGCCTTTTGGGAAGCCAAGGTGGGTGGATCGCTTGAACCTAGCTAGGAGTTTGATACCAGCCTGAGCAACATGGCAAAACCCCATATCTACAAAAACAAAAGAAAAAAACCAACTAAATCAAACAGAACAAAACAAAAACTAGCCAGGCATGGTGGCTTGCACCCCAGGTGCTCAGAAGGCCGAGATGGGATTCCTTGAGCCCGGAAAACAGAGGTTACAGTGAGCCATGAGACTGACTCAGGATTTGGTGACAGAGCAAGACCTGGTCCACAAACAAACAAGGCCAGGTGCAGTAGCTCACACCTGTAATTCCAGCACTTTGGAAGGCTGAGGCGGGTGGAACACCTGAGGTCAGAAGTTCCAGACCAGCCTGGTAAATAATATTCATCACATTTAGGGTAGATAAAATAACAAAACAAATGTCTATCTACTTACTAACTAGTTTAAGAAATAAAACTTTACCTGTGCTCTGAGGCCTCCTGGTGTCCCCTATATAATTCCTTTTTCTGTTTAGAAAGGAAAATCAAACCAAAACTATCCTAAAATTTTTCTTTCTTTCTCTTGGTTACTTTATAGTTTTATCATATTTAATTCTCAACACCATCTGTTGTTTAATTTTGACTCTTAAAACTTTATACAAATGGAATAACATTCTATGCCTTTTATTTCCTGTTCATTATTATGTTCCTGAGATTTAACCATTTTGGTAGTGGCACATGTTTGTAATCCTAGTGCTTTGGGAGGCTCATGTGGGAGGATCACTTGAGGCCAGGAATTCAAGACCATCCTGGGCAACATAGCAAGACCCCGTCTCTAAAACAGCAGGCCACTATTAACTATAGGCTATGGTCACCAGGAAAAGGCCTGACTCTGCCAGGTGAGGGTGTCTGTGGCAGCACATGTGTACACATATGGTTTCCACACTGCCCTGTCCAGCCTAGGGCCTTGTTATCACTGTCATTCTTGCTTCCCTTCTGGCAAGTGGGCATCTCTTGGGTAGTACAATCAGTACTCTGATAATCCTCATTTGGGGGAAGGATTTGGTGAGGGAAGAGGAATGGGAAGAGGCAAGAGTAAGTCAGTAGGGGTGGCTTCCCTATTCAGCTCCAGATGTGGATTCAAGGGGGAGTGACCTTTTCTCCTCAGATCCTTAGCCAGGCTCCCCTTTGAGGCACCAGAACTATGGCCTGGACACATGGAAAAAAGGCACCACCCAATGACATCTCAGGGTACTTTGCTGTCTTGATTTAATCATTCCCCCATAGTGTCCATCCTAAGAACTGTCTGGTCAACATATTACCTCAAAAATTTGTGTACCAATAATTTTGGAGAATGTACACAGGGGATCAATGGGTGCTTTGGGCTCTCCTGCCTCAGCTACATTTCTTTTTTTTTTTGAGACGGAGTCTCGCTCTGTTGTGAGGCTGGAGTGCAGTGGCATGATCTCGGCTCGCTGCAACCCTCCAACTCCCAGATTCAAGGGATTCTTCTGCCTTAGCCTCCTGAGTAGCTGGGATTACAGGTACATGCCATCACGCCCAGCTACACAAATACAAAACTTTTGTATTTTTAGTAGAGATGAAGTTTCACCATGTTCGCCAGTATGGTCGCCATCTCTTGACCTCATGATCTGCCTGCCTCGGCCTTCCAAAGTGCTAGGACTACAGGTGTGAGCCACTGCACCTGGCCTCATTTCTTTTTTTTTTTTTTTTGGAGACAGAGTCTCACTCTGTCGCCCAGGCTGGCATGTGATGGTGTGATCTCAGCTCACTGCAACCTCTGCCTCCTGGGTTCAAGCAGTTCTTCTGCCTCAGCCTCTGGAGTAGCTGGGACTACAGGCGCATGCCACCTTGCCTAGCTAATTTTTGTATTTTTAGTGGAGACAGGGTTTTACCATGTTGGCCAGGCTGATCTCGAACTCCTGACCTCAAGTGATCTGCCTGCCTCAACCTTCCAAAGTGCTGGGATTATACGTATGAGCCACTGTGCCCAACCTACATTTCTTCTTTCTACTACCCTTTACCAGGTACCCAGAGCCTACCTGTGGAGAGTGATTGAGCTTTGGCCTTTTGTTTTCCCTAAGGCAGAGATGCCTGAGTTGATTTTCTCTGAGGGTCACCACTGGCAACCCTGGGGGATCCCCTGGGATGAGGGTGGTCTGGACCCACAGGAGAAGACAGTAACAGGAGAAATTATAAAGATTTTATTATTATTATTATTTATTTGAGATGGAGTTTCACTCTTGTCACCCAGGCTGGAGTGCAATGGCATGATCTCACGATCTTGGCTCATTGCAACCTCTGCCTTCCAGGTTCAAGTGATTCTCTTGCCTCAGCCACCCGAATAGCTGGGATTACAGGCATGCACCATCACGCTTGGCTAATTTTGTATTTTTAGTAGAGATGGGGTTTCTCCATTGGTCAGGCTGGTCTCAAACTTCTGACCTCAGGTGATCCTCCTGCCTCAGCCTCCTAAAGTGCTGGGATTACAGGTGTGAGCCAATGTGCCCAGCCAACATTATAAAGGTTTTTATGATTTTAGTGCTCTGGGAGTGACTGTGTCATATATTTCATGCTGGGACTTTTTATACATTTTTCCTTTAAACATGTGCAGAAAGTAGGGGAAGGTCATATCTAATAACACCAAAAACCAAATTATTCCACAGCTTTGATCAGGAGGCCAGGCCCAAGTATGTGCTCCAAGCATGCATTCTCTTTGACTAAAAAATATGAGTCCAAAGAACTCTGAATGCAATTATAGATGAAGACACTGCCTGTAAAAACCTAGTACATTTACTTCTGTTTGGGGCTTAGAATTCTGATTTGTATGGTTTGACAAGCTTATTGCATTGGATTCTGACCAAACCAATGCTACCATGCGACGAGGCATTCCAGTGCCCAGCTGTACCTCCTGCAAGAGAATTGCTTGCTTTGTTATTAAGAAAATAGAAAACCTGCACCTGACTGCTTTTTCTCATTCACCTCAGCTTAGGTCCTTACTACCTCACACTTACATTGTTTCAACCACCTCCACCAAAAATTGCCCTTTCCTGCCTGTCCAAGGTCAAGTGGCTCCCAATTGCCTATGTGGCATCTAAGGTACAATGCCTCAATCTATTCTTTCAAAGCCCAAAAGAAAACGCTTACTGGGCACTTATTCAATGAGAGGCACTATGGAAGCATGTCACAACATTCTCTGTGCAGTGGCTAATACTCCATTTACAGATGAGGCACAGGAAGCATGAGAGGCAAGCATGGCCAATGTCACAGGGCTAGAAAGTGTCTGGTACACAATGCCAGGTAGAGTTAATTCTTAACCTCTGTATTATCATGGCTGAAGAATGCTGACATTTACTGAAAGTTCAAGGCTTTAAGAAATAGTTCATTTAATCCTCACAACAGTAAGAAGAACAGTCGACAGCAATATTCTCATTTTATAATAAGAAAAACCACAGGGAAATTAGTAACACGGTGTGTAAAGAAGTGGCCTTGGGAGATTCTAACCTACAGAGTCAGATGGACCCTGGACTTCCATGCTGACCCTAAAGGTACCAGAAAAAAAAAAAACAAAACCAAAATAATCCCTAAATGAAAAACGATGATTATAAAGTACTAATAGACACTGTAGCCTACATACATGCAAAGGCTATTTTAAAAAGCCACTGAAGGCCGGGTGCGGTGGCTCAAGCCTGTAATCCCAGCACTTTGGGAGGCCGAGGCGGGTGGATCACGAGGTCAAGAGATCGAGACCATCCTGGTCAATGAGGTGAAACCCCGTCTCTACTCAAAATACAAAAATTAGCTGGGCATGGTGGTGCGCGTCTGTAGTCCCAGCTACTCGGAAGGCTGAGGCAGGAGAATTGCCTGAACCCAGGAGGAGGTGGTTGCGGTGAGCCGAGATCGCGCCATTGCACTCCAGCCTGGGTAACAAGAGTGAAACTCCGTCTCAAAAAAAAAATAAATAAAATAAAATAAAATAAAATAAAATAAAATAAAAAGCCACTGAAGGACTTTTATTCTCTCATATTACATTTCAGTTTGGTTGTTGTTTTCTTTTTTTGAGACGGAGTCTCACTCTGTCACCCAGGCTGGAGTGCAACCTCCACCTCCCGGGTTGAAGCGATTCGCCTGCCTCAGCCTCCTGCATAGCTGGGATTACAGGCGCGTGCCACCATGCCCTGTATATTTTTAGCAGAGACAGGGTTTCACCATGTTGGCCAGGCTGGTCTAGAACTCCTGATCTCAGGTGATCTGCCCGCCTTGGCCTCCCGAAGCGCTGGAATTACAGGCGTGAGCCACCACTCCCGGTCCACGTTTCAGTTTTAACCACCGTTTCTCAACTGGAAGACACATCCTTTCATCCAATGCTGGTAAAATCCGATTCAAAATTCTAGTGAAAACAACAGCAATACACAAAAAACGCTAACCCTATGAACCCCCAATTTCAAAATGATCTATCGCCAAAAACTCTTCAGCGTCTGGGAAGTTTAGCTATTGGATTTATGCGTTCCTGTCTCTTCTTCCAAAAATAACTAACAACTCGTAGCTCTTTCAAGTTATCCTACTTAATCTCATCTTGTCATTTCTGTAGGAAAGTGATTAATGCCCCTTTTTAATGACATTGCCTGTAAGGCCCCAAGAGCCACACAAAAGACGGGAGCTGCAGCCTTGGAGACTTCGGGTGGGGGCAGAACGCCGGGCTGAGGTGGAGGGAGCCCCGAGGGCACAGCAGGCGGGAGGGCGGAGGGGGCGGCCGGGAGCGAGCTCGGCTTTCGAGCAATCTCCCTCCTCGCTGCGCTTCCATGCTTGCTAAAGGGTCGAGATGAAGAGGCAAGGGGAAGAGAGGGAGAGAAGGAAAAATATAAAAGAGAGGGGCAAGTGGGGCGGGAGTCCCGGGAACAGCGGCGACCGCGTTACCTCAGAGCCCAGAGACCTGGGGGAGGGGCTCTCGGCGCCGCAACGGATTCCGGGGCTCCAGGCTGGCAGGTCTTGCTGGGCCTCGGAGCGAGAATGCTGATGTCTCGGCAGGGACGGGGAGTTCTCCCGATGTCGCCTGCTGTTTCTCAGTCGCCTGTCGTGACACGGTAGCGGGCCGGGTCACGCTAACGCCGATCGCCAGGCGGGCTGAGGGAGGGATCGGGATCGCGGTGCCACCTCTCCAGGTCCGGTCCGGCCCACATCACTGGGGGCCGAGGTTTATTGTTCCGGAGAGCCAGAACAGACAGGGTCTGCCCGGGCCCGCCGGGCAGTGTTCCGCTTCGTCCGCCTGAGCCTGGGGTCAAGCCAGCAGCAGCTGCAGGCACGCGGACTGGCGGCGGATCCGGGGCCCGTGTGTGTCTCTTTAAGGGGCAGGGCCTGCGAAGCTAAGGGGCGGGTGGGGTGTGCGTCGCTCCCGGTGTGAGGGTGAGAGGGAGAGAGCGGCTGGCGGGCGTCCGAGGGAGGGAGGGAGGGAGCTACGAGCGAGCTAGCGACGCGGGCAGCCCCTGCCGCCGCCGCCGCGGTCGGACCTGCGGCCTCCTCCCCTCCCCTCCCCCGCGTCGCCCTGCAGCGGGGAGGGGGCTCGCGTCGCCGCCTCCAGCCGCTCCCGATGAAGCAGCTGCAGCCACAGCCACCTCCGAAGATGGGGGATTTCTACGACCCGGAGCATCCGACCCCTGAGTAAGTATCAGCTCCGCGGCTCCCGGCTGCTGTCGGCCGCTTCTGCCCCAGCCAGGGGCGGCGCGTCCTGACGGGTGGCGGCGCGGGCCGGCGCGAGGAGTAACGGGCCCGTGGCGGCCTCGCGCGGTCGGTGTCGGGAGCAGGCCCGCGCCGCCACTTCGGGCCGCCTGGCCGGGGCCTCAGCAGGCCCGCGGTTGGGCCCGGCGTTGGCGCCGCTGCTCGCGTCGCCGCGGCGGTTGGGCCGGGCCTGTGGGGGAGGGGCGGCCACGGTCCTCAGGGCTGCCGCCGTGTCCGCACCGACGCGGCCAGCCGGGGACTCGTAGGTCCTTGCGGGCTCCTCGCGGCTCGCCCGGGCCCCGCTGTTAGCCAAGGGGTAGAGTCGGAGGAGCTGCCGGTGCCAGGCCCGTCAAGAGGGCGCCGGCGAGGGTAGGCCGCGAATCCCCGGGCTCGGGTGGAAGCTCGACCCGTCGCTCGACCTCCCTGCGACGGCGGCGGCTCGGACCGGAAGGGCCTAGCGCGGGTCGCCTTGCCCCCGGGCCGTGGAGGGGCCCGCGCTGTACTCCTGAGTTTGATTTTTCTTCCTGGGAACTCGATCCTAGCCTCGCAGTGCTTCTGGCTTCACATTCTGCACCTTTGGCACTTGGGTTTTGTAATGGCGAGGTTTGTGTGGTCCCGTTGTTGAGGTGACACCGGGTTTGTTTTTCCGCCTGAAAATGAAAGCCGCCTGAGGGGCATACATTTTCTTGCATATTGTGAGATTTTTACACTTTCGGACACGATTTTCTTGGTAACAGGAACCTCTTACCCTAAACTGATGACTTTCTATTTCTTGTGAAGACTTGGTTAAAAACCAAGAATCGTTTGAGTATTCTCTGAAGACAATCTTATGGAAAACCGAAACACAGTTTTGCCCAATAGTAATTTTTCAGTCTAGGACACCTTTACATTTCTCTTGAGGTCGGATCTGCTGCTGTATCTGCTACCTCAGAAAGCCTGGAATCACTTCTTTCCCTGCACCCTCATGAGACCATTGTTTTGAAAAGCCATTCTTAAACTCCATTTGCTGGTGTTGAAGTCTAGACCTAGGAATATACTATTCATTAAAAACTTAACAATTGATAGGGGTTTCAAATTAAACTGTCAAACTTTTATGACCAGGATGATTCCAAGAGCTTTGCTGTTTTGACACAGTTTACCTTATGTTTGCTGTGGCTCGTTTTTTAATCCCTTGCCACATCTTTTCACCTTGGGCCAGAAATGTCTGGATCTTATTTGATAGTTCTTAGTTTGGATCGCAACATAAACTGATTCTGTTGAGGTGTTGGTCATTTCTGCACAAAAAGAGAAATTATTTTGCTTTTCTAAAATAAAAACCGACTCTTACTTGCAATAGTAATTTAACATGGTATTTTCCTTTCATGGGTTCTTGGCCATTGGTTAACCTTACCTTAATTAGATTGGTCTTTTTGTTTTGCTATTGGCAGGATCAGTTAGGTAACATTGTTTTGATTTACTGCACAATCAGGCCAATTACAAAGCTCATGTTACAGGTTTTTAGATAGAAAAACTTCAAAAAAAAATTTTCGTGTCATGATTCAATAAATGCTTATTGAGCGCTTGCCCTGTACAAAGTAACATGCTAAAAATAACCCCAGAATAGGCCAAGTGCCTGCTTTCACTTCCTTTTACCAGGTTGTTTGATGAAGTCCAGAAGCTTTAAGGATCACATCCTTACACTTCTTTGGGCAAAACAATTTTTCATAATATGTGGGAAAATGGACTCTGTACCTTTGGTAGACATGAGTGGGGAAGGAATCAAGAATGTTTCATGGTTTTACATAATGTTTTGGAGTTTTTATTGCTTTGATGTAGAAATTCACTGCTTTGGATTTCTAACAGTGGTTATTTATATATTTTTAAATTCTTGTGTATTTTTTTCCTTCTTTTTTTAGAGACAGGGTCCCGCTCTGTCACCTAGGCTGGAGTGCAGTTGTGTCATCATAGCTCATTGCATCCTTGAACCTCTGGGCTTAAGCAGTCTTCCTGCCTCAGCCTCCTGGCTTGGGACTACAGGCATGTGTCACCACACCTGGCTAATTTAAAAAAAAAGATTACGTTGCTCAGACTAGTTTTGAACTTCTGGCCTCAAATGAGCCTCCTGCCTTGGCCTCCCAAAGTGCTGGGATTGCATTCCTGAGCCATCGTGCCAGGCCTCGTCTTGTATATTAACCTGTATGGAGTAGATAAAAAATTGTACCTTTTTTTTTCTTCATAATACTATGAGGACTGGAGGGATATTATGGTAGCTATCCTGAGCAATACCACCTGTTTTGCAGATGAAGAAAATGAAGCCTAGAGAAGTGAAGTGATAGCAAACCCTTGAGATAGTAAGCTACTTAGTGTTTGTAATGCTGGAGAGAGGAGAGAGAAGGGCAGTATAGTGTTTAAAAAACATGGATTTCGGAGTTGGTCCTGGATTTTAACCTTGGACATGTGACTTCATTTCTCTGAACTTGGGTTTTCTCATCTTTTATATGGGTATCATAATGATAACTTACTAGGGCTTTTTGGGAGGATTCAATGAGATAATGCATCAAGAGCACTTGGTGCAGAATGTGGCATGTGCTTCTAGCTGGGGTCATCAGGGAAAATGTAAAAGGTAGGATTTAAGTTGAACATGAAAAGATTAGGTGGGCAACATGGCTCAGGGGTGGAATGTCCAATTACTCTTGTTAGACTTTGTATGGTTTGAAATGGTGCTTAGACATATGAAGAAATTGAGGCAAAAATATAAATTCAGTTTGACTGTAGTAACACTTAGCATCTGATGTTCTGGGTTTGTCTTGTACTCATGCTTTTAATTAGACACAGCTGCAAGATGGCTTTTTTTTTCCCAGCAGCATATAGGACATTGTGTTTCAGGTGAAAATGGCTGTAATCACTTGAGTATCTGTGCGGTTAGTGTCCATTATGGGGCAGCCCCAGGGTCAGGTATTGAGGACACAGCAAAATAGATCCAGTTAGAGTCTTCAAGGAACTCTTCTAATGAGGGAGATAGGCAAATAACCTTACGGTGGTAGAGGTACAGTTCTTTGACATATGTGTGTCCATTGTATGCCAAAGGTAGGCACACTAGGAGTGTTTGGTGTACTCAAAATTTTGCCCTTGTGGAATTTACATTCTAATGAGGGGTGATAATAAATGATACAGAATGTTCTGGCCCAGTGGGGTGGCTCGAACCTGTAATCCCAGCACTTTGGGAGGCCGAGGTGGGTGGATCACCTGAGGTCAGTAGTTGGAGACCAGCCTGGCCAACGTGGTAAAACCCCATCTCTACTTAAAAAAAAAAAAAAAAAAAAAAAAAGGGGGGGGGGCGTGGTGGCAGGCACCTGTAATCCCAGCTTACTCGGGAGGCTGAGGCAGGAGAATTGCTTGAACCTGGGAGACGGAGGTTACGGTGAGCTGAGATGGTGCCACTGCACTCCAGCCTGGGCGACAGAGGGATATTTCGTCTAAAAAAAAAAATCTATATATATATCTATATAGATATATATATTTTTTACATATGTATATAATGTAGAATGTAGAATATATATATCTATATATATATATATATAAAATGTAGGATACTGAAAGGTAGGTGCTTTAGAAAGTGGAATAGAGTAAGGGGAATTCAGAATTGTTGAGGAAGAAGTTACAATTAAAGTGAGGTATACTGGGTGAGTATCCTTGAGAGAGTGATATTTAGGCAAAGATTTAAAGGAGAATAGCCATGTTAATATCTGAAAAGCATTTCAAGCAGAGGGAATAGTTTCAAGGTGTTGAGGCAAATTCTGCCCATTATGGCTAGAGTGGAATGAGCATGAAAGTGCAATAGTAAATTGGGTTAGGGTGAGATGGGGTTTAAGCTTTTATACAGTCTTGGAGAGCCATTCTAAGGACTTTGCCAGGAGTTTTGAACATAAGAGTGATATAGTCTGCTTTCAGTTTCAAAGGATCACTCGAATCGCAAATTCGAAGCCTGGAGACTTGTAAGGAAGCTAGTAATCCAGAAAAGAGATGCCGGTACCAAGATGGTAATGTAAGAGTAGTGAGAAATGGATGGATACTGGATATATTTTGGAAATAGAACTAATATGATTTGTGGGCATGACATGTGAGAGAGGAACCAAGGATGATTCCAGTGTTTCTGGTCTGAGCAGTTAGAAAGTTGCCATCAACAAAGACAGTAAGGACTGAAAGGAGCAAGTTTGGGGACTAGATTAGGAGGAGTTCGATTTTAGGCACGGTAAGTTTGAGATCGACTGTTAGACATTTGAGTTGAGTTGATAATCCAAGTCTGAAGTTCAGGGGAAAAGTCTGGAATGGAGATAAATTTTGTTGTTATCAGTGTAGGT